GGCTTAACGCCTTATTTCTTAAAAAAATGCGCAGGCGTTCTATCATACCCTCTTTCTATAATAATGAATACATCCTTTACTCTAGGTTCTCTTCCCTCCTCCTGGAAATCTGCATCTGTTACTCCGATATTTAAAAAAGGCAATAAACTTGATCCTAATAACTACCGCCCAATCAGCCTCCTACCAGTTATTTGCAAGGTTATGGAATCAATTGTTGCGGAAAAAATGTCCTCCTTTTATAATGTTATACCTCAACAACAACATGGCTTCATTAAAGGAAGATCGACTCTTACCAACCTCCTCCATTGTATTAATAATTGGACGAAATCCATTGACGATAAAAAGCCTATCGATGTCATTTATCTAGATTTTTCTAAGGATTTTGACAGAGTCCCAAAACGTCGACTACTTTATAAACTGGAACATCTAGGCATCCGCGGTAACCTTCATAATTGGATCTTAAATTTTTTAACCGACAGATCTTTTAAAGTAAGAGTTGGTAGCGAGTTCTCCTTAGAAAGACCAGTCTCAAGTGGTGTTACACAGGGCTCGGTTCTCGGCCCTTTGTTGTTTACTGCTTACGTAAGCGACCTTAAAGCGTTAGTTTCATCCTCAATATGTTTTTATGCCGATGATACAAAAATATTTGTCAACCCTCTTCACGACCATCAAGCACTTCAAAATGACCTTAACAACCTCCATTCATGGTGCTGCGACTGGCTCTTACCCCTAAATATAAACAAATGTGTTGTGCTCCATATTGGTAAAAATAATCCGGAGTTGCCATATTCAATCAACATGCATGCATTAAATAGAGTGTCCTCGTACAACGATTTAGGTGTTACAGTGAATTCTAATTTATCGTGGAGTAATCATATCGCTAATGTGTGCAAACGCGCAAACTCCAGATTATTCCTAATTCAAAAAACATTTTCAAAAGTGTCGTTTGAAACGCTATGCAGACTTTATAAATTTTCATTATTCGATTGGTTAGTAAAATGTTTTACTGTATCTAAGTAAGAATAATAGTCCTTTTCACTTTCTATACTCATTACTCATCAAATAATGTACTATAATGATAATGAATAAAAACGATGATGCTATCAAAACGAATATAATCACGACATTTCCAGAGTTGGTCGTGATTTATTTACAAGCTCACTTTCGTTTTGCGCATGTCTTGACAATTTGTTGCTATTCAGACCCAGAAACTAATTTGACAGTACAGAAACTGGTTTGTGATTAGGTTTGAGTATGTTGGAACACTAGGTTTTCATACAGTTTTGAGTCCGAGGTTTGTTGGAACACCAAATCTAGACTGCGCAGAATCCCGACAGTACGTAAACCAATTTGCTATTTTGTTGGAACAAACCTATAATTATGATATATTTTTGGATTTACCACCTGAACAATGTTCGAACTACATTTGCATGTAGCTCATTTTCGAATTTAATTTTGTAACTGTACTTGTATTTAGTCTTTATATTTATTTTAAAATCATTTCTTGATTTAATAGTTTTTAGGTTAATTAATTTGCTCTTTTTTTACTGGGCACAATAGGACACCGTTCTCTGCCCTTATTGTAATAATAATAATAATAATAATAATAATAATAAAATAATAATTAAAATGCAAAGGTTAGATATTTGGTAAACACATATATAAATTTTTTATAGAGAATACACAATTTATTAAGAGACATCTCTGAGTAACTTTATTACAAAAACGAACAGACTTCATCATATTTATAAAAAATATTTCGATAAAATAGAAAAAAAGGAGTACATTTAAATTATAGAAAAATATCGGATAGGATTATGAGGAAAACTAAAAAATATTTTTATGCAAAAAAATGAAAACTAATTATCAAGTACAAATGGAAACAATAAACAATAACAATAATGAAATAAAAGAAATAAATCTATGCATGATCTGACTAAATTGGAGAAGAAAAATTGCCCTATTTTATAGTGTGAAGTAAGGTAATTTCGTCACATAGGTAAGTTCGTGATAGAATTATAAAAATTTGTCAGCAAGTTGTCTATTGCTTTAGATGGATGAATCCTTGGCTAGTGGAAGGTGTATGATGCTACTAGATGGCGCAACCTGCCCCGTTTGGATACCACGAACATATAAGTCATTAAAAAACTTTGTTTACATGTGGTGCGTATTACGTCGTAATTTTTCGCGAGTTTTGCAACTAGAAAGAGATCTGCTGTTTCAAAAGGAATTACCGAAAGGTAGGCTTATGAAATTTATACCAATTATAGTATCTGAAATGGGGAATCTTCCTGTCAAATGTGATTTACAAATTTTGGCTTGGTTTTACAGTAATTGCTTATTCCGTGCAGCTATGTTCTTACGTTTTTTACATGTGCTGAAGATGTTAAAATGCTAGGGTTGTTGAATTTTAAATATCTTTTTTTTTATTGGTACCCTATTTTACTTATTTAAAGTACGCCTCAGCGTGTTTAAAACGAACTTTAAAAAATGCGCTTGTTTTAAAGTTATCATGGCAACTCTAACAACCCGGGAAACGTAGTCTAAATGGCAACTTTTATACAGGGTGTACCAATAAAAACTCCCAGGCCGGATATTTTGGTAAGTAATAGAGATATTTTAATTCTGTAAAAGCCAGTTCACAGGGCAGTAAGAGAGCTTCAGTTTTAGATATAAATTGATTTTAAATAGGTCAATATGTAGATGGCGCTGCGCTCAATAATTATTTTTCGATGGGAGGATCTTTCTTGTATAGCGCATCTTGTAAAAAATGCATTTTTAAGCAAATTTTGTTCTATGAACTAATTCGATAAATGTAGCCATTTTTGATATACAGAGTGGGTCATTCAAAACAGTTTCATCCTGTTTTTCGGAATTATTCATTGTATTTTTGCAAAATGCTAAAACAGGTCGATTTTTATTCTAAATTAAACAAATTTTTGCAATACAGACATCTGTAATGTGTCAACCTCCTCCCTTCCACTTCTCCAACCCCTTAATTTTAAATAAGGAATGTACCATGTACGGCACATCATTAAAAAGGTAATTTTATGGGGAAGTCAGAAATATGACAGTTTATTGCGAAACTTTTAATTTTAGCGCCCTCTATCGGGATAAAAAATCTGTAACGTATTTTAAAGTGTGACACTTCATTTGAAAGCTAATTTAAATACTAATTCAATGCGCCACATAACATTAATATAAATATTTCCATATTGCACTTGCAACAAAATAAAGTTAGCAATAATGTTTAAAATAATGCATGACTAATTTTTAAACTATTGCAAGTGCAATGTGGATATTTATAATAATATTATGTTATTAATTAATGTTATGTGGTACATTGAATTAGTAATTAAATTTGCTTTCAAATAAGGTGTCACACTTTAAAATACGTAGTTTTTTTCCCGATAGAGGGCAGTACAATTAAAAGTATCACAATGGACAGTCATATTTCTAAATTCCCCATAAAATTACCTTTTTAATGATGTACTACACATTGTAGTATCACACTCTACAATACGTAGTAGTTTTTTTATCCCACTAGAGGGCGATAAAATTTAAGTAACGTAATTTACAGAAATATTTCTGAATTCCCCATTAAATTACCTTTTCAATGATTATGATACATGGTACATTACCTATTTAAAATTAAGGTGTGGAGAAGTATAAGGGAGGGGGGTTGACACATGACATATGTCTATATTGTATAAATGTCTTTAATTTGGAATAAAAATCGACCTGTTTTAGCATTTTCCAAAAATACAATGATTAATGCCGAAAAACAGGATGAAACTGTTTTGAATGACCCACTCTGTATATCAAAAATGGCTACATTTATCGAATTAGTTCATAGAACAAAATTTGCTTAAAAATGCATTTTTTACAAGATGCGCTATACAAGAAAGATCCTCCCATCGAAAAATAATTATTGAGCGCAGCGCCATCTACATATTGACCTATTTAAAATCAATTTATATCTAAAACTGAAGCTCTCTTACTGCCCTGTGAACTGGCTTTCACAGAATTAAAATATCTCTATTACTTACCAAAATATCCGGCCTGGGAGTTTTTATTGGTACACCCTGTATATTGATCTGACCTCCGAGCAATTACTACTAGAGTGAGTCTTCCCCCCTTCCCCGCGCTAAATTTTGTTAGCAACATCTACTCCCCCCGAAGGGGAAAATACCTCTTCTGTAATTGGCTTATTAAATCAGCGTTGTCAAGTTTAACACCGCCAGTTCTGACACTTTCTGATACATGTCAATTTCTTATTTGTATTTTACGGAAAATATTATTATTTATAACGTTGTAAGGGTTGTAAATGTATATTTAAGATTTATATTTTTAATAATATGGTGAAAACATGCTTTATGTGTACAAAGGCGAATTTAGCTTTTCTTTATGGGGGGGGGGGGGGGGGGGGGGTAAAATTTAAAAAGATTAAATGTTTAAAATAAAATTTTATTAATAATAACTTTTAATCACAAAGATACTAGTACAGTACCTAGAACTAAAAATAGTTAAAACAAAAAACACATTTAAACTGTTACTAGGTATTAAAAGTATAGTCAAATAAGGAAGCTGTATACACTTCTTGTCTTTTAATAAAAAAATAATTTAAGGTGCGGCAAAATAATAAACATGTATTTTTCGTTTCTATTATATGAAACCCTTTTAAAAATAATTTTTTACCCTGTGATAAATGTATTAAAAATAAAAATTTAAAATGCTCTACAACTTCCTTATTATCGATATAAAAGAGGAACAAGAAACCAATAAAATTTTAAATGAAATTTCCGTTAAAATATATTTAACATAACCTACCTTACCCTCCTAAGCTATTTTTCTTAGTTCATCTGATGCAGAATTTTTCAAGCTATCTGATGCGTTAAAAAAATGTGTTTTTTTGAGATACCGCTTTTTGGCTTAGGAGGGCAGATTACAAAAACAGCCTACCTTTCTATAAAATAAAATCTACATTATTAATTATTTCTCTATGCATATGCATAAGTGCCAAACTGCATAATCTTTCCTGCGTCATGTTTGATCGAAGCCACGTTTTGAGTCGTTTTAGTGCCGAGAATGATCTCTTCGCTGAAGCAACAGTTACTGGAAATGTTAGCAAAAGTTGAAGAATTATTTTTATATATGGGAAAAATTCTTTATCACATTGTGTAAAAAAAAATGGGTTGACCTTTCCAGCATAGTGTCGTTGTTCTCAAAGTTCTTGTGCCACAGTTCGATTTCGACTTTTAATTTTATTTCCAAAATTTCCGGAGAATCTGTAATGTACTGACTGAGAAATTCAGATATACTTTTTACCGAGGTAAATACCTCGTCTGCGCTTAACTTTAAAAATACTGATGGTAACGCAATATTAAAACTTAAAATGTTCATGAGATCATTATCAAATCTGTATTCCAAATCCTCTATTAAGAAGTCTAAAATAGGGATATAGGTTGTTATTCTGTAATAATCTTCGATGTTTTCTGTTTGGATATTTAGACGATGTATTTGTCTCCCTACTAAACGAGGTTTAGAAACATTTATATTAAGTTTCTTATGTAACAAAAAAATATTTTTGAATATTTTTGAAAAATCTATTTCTGATGTGATCCGTTTATCTTTTAATGTTTTTAATACGTTGCAAACCATATCCCCAGCAGTCGCTTTATCCATGTTAGTACCCTGCAAAATTTTGCTTAAATTTACTGTGTAAGAAAGAATTTCCGATTGGCAAAAAATTGTGACAATAAATTCTGTCGTAATGTATCTGCTTTTGAAGAAGAATCCGTATCTTGCCAGTTTGAGATATGATCCAATGCCGTTATTATCGACTCAAAACAACTACAAAATCGAAATATAGATTCGTGGCGCTCTACCCACCTTGTTTCGCAGAGTTTAATGAGATTTAAATCAGATATTTTTTTAAAAATAACCGAACGCTTTGGTGATGAGTTAAAGAAATTAATCGTTTCTTTCATTTTGCCCACAGAGTTTCTAACACTTTGAACATTTGTAGTTTTAGAAACAGACAAGTTTAAAGCATGGTTGTAATAGGGTGACTTTAAAGCATTTTTTAATGTTTTTTTAAGTTCTTGTACTGCGCCTTTTTGCTCACCTAACATAACATTACACCCATCTGTGCCAATGCCTACGCAGTTAGACAATAAAAGAGAATAGTCTTTCATAGCTTTTATTACTGTCCCCGCTAAAACCTTGCCTGATAAAATTGGCTCTATAGAAACTTCATCATCTGCGTATGTTTCTTGGTGACATCGTAAAAAGCATAAAAAGAATTTTATTATCGAAAACATACCGAACAAAGAAAGTCATTTGACTCGTATTCGAAATGTCGGTGGTTGCATCAAAAATAATACTAAAAAATTTAGCTTTGCCTATTTTTTCTGTTAGGATGCCTGTAATTTCTTCGCCAATTGTCAAAATTATATCGTTTTGCACAGTTTTACTAATATACGTCAACCTTGCAGTTGCTGTTAATAAATGGTTTTTTAAAATAGGATCCCCTTTTGCTCGGTATTCCAATATAGCTTTGAAATTTCCGCGATTGACTGCGGAGTCTTCGGTGGTTTTATTTGTTTCAGTTTTGTCTCTTAAACTAAAACCATCATCGCGATGGGACCTAAAAGCAATATTCTGACGCCCCAATACTATAACGGCTTCAATAATTGGTTTTAACCTTTCGCGGTTTCCTAAAATTTGTAGCTTTCTTTTTTGATCCAACATATTTTCTATTCAGACTTGAGGATCACGAAATTTTTTTAAAAACAGTTGGGCACGCTCTGCCGCTTCTTTATGATACCGATGGGCTTGATGTAAAATCAAATCTCCATCTTTTCCTAGAAGCTTCGAGTATTTGTTAAGAGGTGATTTTACTAACTTATTTAAATTTGTTTGATGGTAAACACTGCCTTGTTTCGCAAATAAAAAACAGTATTTACAAAATAATCCTTGCAAATGACATGAATATGTAAGCCATCGAAACTCACCAAAATGTTTCTTTGACAAATAACACTTAACGTCCTTATTGTTTTTCCCATGCACACTAAATGAATATGAAAAATCTTCTGGAGGCTCCCAGGCATTTCTTAACGAATTAGCTTTTTCTGCGTCGCTAAAACTTGTAGTAGCAATGTCAATATAAAACCCAAAATCAACATTACGCGTCTCAGAATTAAAGGCGATGCTGGCGATGGGCCTATTATCAGCTGCTTGTACTGTACTGCTACTGCTGCTAGTGTTACTACAACAATATTCGCTTACCTCCGCTTCTTTAAAATGTACATCAGATGTAGTAAATGGACTGCAGATTTTAGTTTTCTTTGTTTTGACAAAACCCAATAACGTGCTCTGCCTTTTGCTCATTTTGAAACTAGAAACGTTAATTTTATTTTATTTTTATATTTATTTTAGTTAGTTCCTTGCTTACCAAACTATTTCCACCTAAGTAGTTTTGTAACAAACACAATAATTATTGCAATTCAAAATTTTAAAATATTAATCATTTATATGCACACGCGTTTGAGTATACTCGTATGTAACGTAAGTTAGGCCGTGCCAGACGTAAAAACTGTAATGGTAAACAAAAACACACCAACGCGAGCGCAACCGAACCGCCAACGCCTTGCAACACGCGGAGAGACATTGAAATCCATTGTTGCCGTATTTACAGATTTTTCTTCTTTATTGCGTTATGAGAAGCACCACTTTGTTATGTAAAACAATTTTGTATATATTGTGTTTTATAATTTTTTTTATAAATCATAATCATGGGGGGGGGGGGGGGTAATTACCCCCAGTACCCCCTCCCCCCCCCGTAAATCCGCCCTTGTATGTGTAAAAGGTCTGTTAAAAATGCTTCCTCAAGATAATATCATAAGTAAGTATAGACACAACCTAATTATCAAAGGCAGTGCATTAGGCAATCACCTTAAATTTGCAAATCAAAAGGGGAAAAACGTTAGATTAGTTATGTTCAGGAATAAACTCTTTAAACATTTATCTATTTAAAATGTTTCTTTTACAAGTTATGTTATTAACTTTCTATTTGTACTTGTATTAATTTATTTCATTTTATTACCTGTTGCATTTTCAAATTGATTTTAATATTAATCTTATCTATTTATATATTTTTTATATTCCCATATATGTTTTTTTCATTGAAACAAACGTTTATTAGCTTATTAAATATAATAAATTCATGTTTTTTTATTATATGCTTACATAAATTATTACTTCTATTTCCTTTTGAAAATGAATTACGAAGATAAAGCCGAAACGGCTAGACGAAAAATTAGACGAAAGTGACGATATTTACTGGAGCTTTCATTTACACGCTCCTTTTTCTAGCTATCTACACCTGAGCCAGCAAGATTCGTCTTCCCTCCATTCTTACGTTATCCAGATTTACAAAGAAAACGCCGTCTTCTTTAAATTATCCAGACCTTTGACGGGGACTATACCACTACATTATCAGCTTTATTTGTTATCCCGAGCAATTTAGATGCATTCGTAATTGCTCATTCTCACCTCTTCTCTTGTAGATTCTGTACTCAGTTTTCTTATTTTTAGTTACGTTTGCAATGCTCTTTTATTTTCACAGCTTTAATTCTATAATGCTGTAACGCTACAATATGGATCCATTTTTGTGGTTTATACTATTTAATGTTATTTGTAAGTGATCAACCTATTATAATAATTAAAGATTATTGTATTACAGGCCTGAAGATGTTCCTGTAAGGCCAAAACTAGTCGCTCCTGTATTTATTTATAATACAATTGATTTTTAAGTTTTATTCTTCATTTGAAAAAATTAGACCTTTACAGTGATTTTGTTTCATTTCCTGCATTAGATACATATAAGACGGTATTCATTTTAAAAATAGTAAAATTAGCAAATTTTTTAGTTTTTTTTTACAATTAAAACGCATAAACAATGTGTGTTTTTATAGATAAATGATACGCCACTGAACAAGAAGGAGGTTTACCTTCCCCCTTGTGCCCGCTTCCTCACTTCCTCTACAGATGTTGCTAACACAACAATCGTTTACAAACTCATTTTCACGCTCCCTCTATTAGTAATTGCTCAGAGGATCTGACAGGAGGGCCTTGTAATGTCAAACAAAATATTTTTGACAAATAATTCAAAAAATTTATTCAACACCTTCAAAAATAAATACGTAATGTCCGGTGCATCTATAAAAAAACTTTCGCAAATCGTCTTCCTTGAATACATATGCCTTCTTGACTATCTCATTTTTGCTAATTGCTTCCATGAATGCACGAACGATTTTATATCGACCCCTTTGTTTATCCTCAACATACTTTGTAATTTTGAATGGATAGTCCACATAGTCGATACTTTATACTCCCAGGCAGCACACATTAGTATAACTAACGTATTTTATACGTAATACTCGTTTAATTTTGGTATTGGTTGATTCCGTATACGTTTATAGTTTACGATTATTATACATACCGTAATTTAAATAATATATTATACGTTTTTTATATACATCCTATGGTATATAATTGTAAATTTTTTTACGTTTAAATATAGTTAACAATATACGACTATTTTTAGTTTGCGATGAACTATTTATATACACTGGGCCTAAATATACGTTTAGTTTTATTTAAATTAAATTCGTATAAATTTATATTATATTCCAATATGTTTTCCCCGTTTATAATTCCCATTTAAATTTCGTCTTGGTTGATTTTTTAAACGTTTACCATCTACCATTTTTATACTTAACGTTTTTTAACAGATAAATTAAACGCTTCTGTTTGTCGATACTAGTTAATATACCTATATTATTCTACGTTTAAATATAAGTCACCTTAAACGCATATTACCAGTTTACTATGAACTAGTAGACAGAAGTAAATAATATGTATATATTTAGGTTTATTTAAATTAAAAGCTTATAGATATATTTATTTACATTACATCCATATTTTTTTAATTATATTACCTGTAATATTTATAACAAATTCCCCATACACATGGAACTATTTTTATATGGCGGATGGAGGATGACAAGTGGTACGGTCTTTTCTCATTTCTACTCATGCGTATGTGTAGTATTATTGTTCAGTGTAGGGAATGGTTTGTAGGAGCAGGTCCTGGCTTTTACGATATTGATTAAAAGCATGGGTAAGTTTCTATTAATGTTTTAATTTAGCTTCTCCTTCAATAATTGTTGCATTTTACAACAACTACTGTTTTATAGGTGTACGTACAGTGTGTTAAATGCGTATATAAACTTCAAAACATAACCTTACTTTTGTTTCTTTTATTTTTATACGTATTTTTTAGGTTACCTAGTTATTCCAAGCATACTTATTTTCCTTTTTTTTGGTCAGTTGTGTTTTATTTAATAAAATTTCTAAAATAACCCTGTCTCTGCGTCATCTACGTAGAAAAATATCGCAAAATGTTCAAGATGCTTTAAAGTCAAATTAATTTTCTTTTATTCCCAATGAAGATAACATTAATAAGGCTTCGAACATTAATATATCATCTGATTCTATTATTTATAATAATTTCCAAGAAAATAATACAAATTTAACTTCGGAGCTTTTAGAAAATATTTTACCTGAAATTGAGTTACATTTTGATTATAGGAATGGGGGTGAGACTTAACCGACCGAACGATTAGGTGTGCCAAGCAAGATTAGCTTAAGTTAGCTAAAGCCCGTCTAGGATACAACACATCCAAAGTGTTAAGCTAAAATTTTTATTTTCAGAAATATTTTTTGTTAGTTAAAGAAAAGTTTCGTTTAGTTTGTTATTCACTATTTTAGTGCTTATTTTTTTTTGTATTTATTTATTTTTTAGTATTTTATTGTGTATTTTTTTTTTTTAATTAAATTTTGTTCTGTACATATAACAAGTGATCAAAAAAATTTTCTAAATATTTATGCCAATTACAACCAAAATAGAAACACGAGTAATGGCTATTTCTGGTGTATACACACCTGCTATGGATAAAATCCAAACTATCATTTAAGAAATATTAACATTTTTCCATGGCCTCTTTTAGAAATTTTGTTTTGATCACTTTATTTAATTTGTGTTTGAAATACATTTAAAACAATATCAGGTAGACGCATTTTACACATTAATAAAAATCATACAAATATATCTAATATAGACGTATAGTAAAAACGTTTAATTACAGGTGGATAAATTTTTAGTAATCGACGTTTATAAGGCGGACATTTTCACGAATATATTTGGTAGTACATCAACCGTATTCATACGTATGGTAGTACCTAAAAAAATACGTAATTTATACCAAAGTGTGCTGCCTGGGCTGTTCCGACATTTTCTGGAGATAAGCGAGAACAACTCGTTCATCTATATGTGTAACCATTTGCTCTTCCATCCACTTGTTGATTTTATCGTATTCTTTTTTATAAACCGCTTTGGATTTTTGTGGTATTAAGCGCGATTTTGCTTTATTATTTAAATACTCAATATTTGAACTTATTTTAAACAATAACAACTGTTGCGACAATTAATCTTACGTGACAGATTGACAATAAATTTTCAACGAGGTATACTGATGTTATATCACAAATTCAATAATTTTCAGTTATTAGTACTTATTTACATTTTTTTGTAGAAATAATACCAATATTTAGGATTTCAAAGTATACCAATAAAAAAAAATAGCGTAAAGAATTCGTGGATAACTGGTCTTTAAAACACTTGCTTTATTTTGAGCACTCCGGCTGCGCCGTCGTGCTCGAAAAATGGCGCATGTTTTAAAGGCCGTTATATCCACTTATACTTTAATATACTATTTACGCACGCAGTAAAATTACCCCATATTCTAAGAATGTTTTATTTTTATGATTTACTTCGAACCTTATGTAAAAAAAAACGTTATTGAACATATCTCGAATTTACCTATTGTTTGTAATTTTAGCTTTAACATGAAAGACAAAAAAAGAAATTATCGCAGTTATGAAATATCTGATTTAATAGAAGCTGGTAGGTTAGTAAGGGAAACAAACATGACAATATATGGAGCAAGCAAAGAGACTGGGATACCATGGAGTACGCTGAAAGATTTTTTGTCAAAAAACCAAGACAACCAGCAACAAGTTGCAAAACTAGAAAGGCCATATGCACTGACGCCAGAAATTGAAACAAAACTATTCAATTATATTGTCAAGATGCAGGAACTGGGTTTTGGTCTAACAGTTGAAATGGTAAGAAAAACAGTTTTCGAATTGACAGAAGAATCTGGTAGAGAAAATTTTCTCAAAGAAGGTAACAATTCTGCAAGTAAATGGTGGTGGTCACAATTCAAGAAGAGGTACAATCTTGCGTTACGCGTTCCAGAAAATTT